GGTGGAGAGCAAATGGTTTGAGAATGATGAGGGCAATAACGTACAAATGTGCTTTACACAATTGATGTATGTATGGATTGTGATAAGAGTTGTATGATTCCCTAATAAAACCATAAAAAAACCCCAACCAGAGTAGAACTGCCCCTGTGGGTTTCTGAAGCTGTAACTAACAGTGATGATGAACAAACGTCCGTCACCTTTCTCCCTCAGGGCAGACGGTGGCTTGGAACTGCTAGCCTTCTGATTAGCAGCCCCACTGGTAACTCTCTACGCCACAAGGGCTCTGATTTGTGACCAGTCAGCTGATGTTACGCAAGTGCCGGCTCCAGAGATAGGGAGTAGTTGAGCAGGGACTGGCCGCCTACCTTCGTCCATTGGTAGTTCCCAGTCAGAGGAAGGACATCCCAGAGTGGTTTGCATTGGGGTCAGTGCCACCACCACTGAGGAAGCCACAGGTCCCCCTGCCGGCTCCGTGTCACCCTGGAGACCCAGCTGAGGGTGGGCATTTGTGGAGGAGTTTCCTGGTCTCTGGCCCTTTATCATCTTGGCTCTGAGATGCAGCCCTCTGGCCAGTGACAGGTAGGTTGTGGGAGTCTCTGAGGCCGTGGAGAACAGTAATCCCCCATGCCCCTGAGGGCACACAGCCTGCTAAACCTCTGGGCCCCTCCTGGACTCAACCCGACCGCCCATATTGTGGCCTGAAAATGTTCACATGGAGATCAGGCAGGGTGGGGGACCCCATTAGCTACATCAGCAAGAGCCACGCTGCCATCAATTTCCTTGGGAGCAGCCTGAGGCGACTGCGCACCAGAAACAGCTCCCCATCACCGAGAATGCCACAAGCCAGTGTGTCTGTCCCCTCAGCCAGGGAGCATGGGAACGAAGTCTCCTGGACAGGGCACCCCAAAGACACACTTCCCAAAGCCCTTGAAAATGTGGTCACTTGTTCCCACCATGAACTTGGTAGGAGAGTGCTGAAAGTCTGTTCCAGGGCCTGTACCAAACCAGGGAGCCAAGATCTCATGGAGACCCACACCTTGCCAGCCAAATGAAAACCAAAGAAGCCACTTGGCCAAATCAGGACAGGGTCAAGGAGATGCAGAATGACAGTTGTGGAGGGACCCTAAAGGGTCAGATTGTGCCCCCCTCCAAAAAAAAACCCCAAACCAGTGTTCAAGTCCTGAACCTCCTGCCTGGTATCACTGCAGTGAACAAGGTCATCACAGAATAGGGTCGGTCCTCATCCTCCCTCTAAGTCTCTACCCTTCGGAAGGGAGGGTCCCCGTCTCTCTAACCTTTCCCTAAAACCTCTGTGCTCTTTGATGGTCACCATGCCCAAAGGACCACTCTAGCCTCCTTGAGGGACTCAAACAAACCCTTGGAAGTGCTCTCTGCATCAGGGTAACAAAAAGACCTCTGAAGGGGCAAGATCGGGTGGTAGGTTGGATGTGTCGTGGAGGCAACTCCCCTGCCCCCTTTTTTTATTCCGCCAAGGCAGTTTTCAATTTTCTTAAGACATTTTCCTAATAAGCCATTGTGACAATCTGGTGAGAAAATCGATGAAGATGATCCTTCTGGAGTCTGAAACAGATGTCACCTTCTAAGCTTACCCCACTGCCTTGAATGTAATGGACCCAGGGGATTCCGTGGAAAGGCCCCCTCACGAGGCTCAGGCAAGAACTTGTCTGCAAGCATCCACTGGTCGGGAAGCCAGGACTAGACAGGTTTGGGGTCGAACCTTAGCTGCAGCACTTTTGGACTGAGCCTTGTAGTAGAGAAGGACAGACACAGAAAGAGGTCTCTCTCTCTCTCTCACACACACACACACACACACACATACCACACACACACGATGGTGCAACTACTAGCCAAGGGCTGCCTGTGGCCACAAACAGCTAAAACAGGAAGGATCTACCCCTAGCACCCACAAGGCAGCCTGGTGGCCAGGGCAGTGATTTGCTCTTCCAGCCATGAGACCTTGGTTCCAACAGTGCTAACATCCCACAAATGCCTTTCGGGAAAGTGGGTCCCTCAAAATCGGCCCCTACTCTTGCCTGTCCCAAGACTTGGGCGTTTGGGCACTGGGGCATGGCCTCATCCTGTGTGGGCACCTTCACAGTAGAGATTTCTCCCTTGGTAAAGTCATACAATGTTTTACTGAGGGGCCTGCCTGGGCCCCCAAAATAATTCGTGGGCTCTGTCCCTCACGGCACACCTCCGGAACCCCTCTAGGCTGGGGTTAGATCGCCATATCAACTCTGAGAAAGCCCCTGCCCTCAGATGCCACCCAGGCAGCCCTCCTGGCCTTTCTTCCCACTCTTTCCCAATCTCCCATCAGCAGACAGGTGCCTCTTGGGGCTCATAGGCTGAGCGGCGTCCCATAGCACAGGCAGGGAAGCTGGAGAGGGAACAGGGACAGGGCCTCCAGAAGCCCTGCTCCAGGTCCACCCTCTCCATCCAGGCTGGGGCCTCTTCAGGCTGCCTGGCAACATCGAGGATTGGACATGATTGGCCAGAAGAGGAGAGAGGAGCCAATGAGGCAGCACCAGGTGCCTGCTTCCAGACTTGCCTGCTTCCACTGTGTTATGTGTTGTCAGAGGCCAAGCGAGTTAGAGCAGGAGCTTCTGGAGCAGAGTGGGGCTTGTGTCATCCTGTGTGTGTGGGGGGAAGGGGGCAGACCCTGGGGGCTCCGCAGACAATGACGCAAACGCTCCACTGACGCAGGGACTGTGTGTGTGCGGGG